GCCATAAAATTTCCCCAGGAGCCGGGATGATGGCAGCCCTCGCTTCTCAGCGTGTCTGCTCTTGGTCAGATAAGCAAAGCTTTGAGGAGGCTTCTTTCTGCATCTATTGACACTCATTTGCCTCCAGTTCAAATCATCCTTATGCCACAGTGGCATCTTTTGGGCTGGTACATTCTGATCCTCTACAATATATTTTACAAATTTGGGACTTTATTATTTTGTTTATAGTATTTTTGATGCATGGATTTTAAAAATGATTAACATAAATAATAATTAAGTAGTCACAGTTAAACTATTATAAAATCTATCAGTATTTCCTTAGGTAGTTTTTTCACCTTAGTGTTTATCTTTAGGAATTCCAGCTCCACTTCAAAATTGAATAAGTAATGCTTCTTTTCAATGGTTTTTCTTTTTTTAAAAAAAATATATTTTATTGATTTCATAGAGGAAAGGAGAAGGAGAGAAAGATAGAAACGTCAATGATGAGAGAGAATCATTTATCAGCTGCCTTCTGCTTACCTTCCCCCCCCTCCCCCCGGGGATTGAGCCCACAACCCAGGCATGTGCCCTGACCAGGAATCAAACCATGGCCGCCTGGTTCATAGGTTGACATTCAACTACTGAGCCACACTGGCTGGGCTATATTCTTTTTCTTTTGTTCTCTGTTGTTATGTTCTTGTTTTTACAATTTAGTTTATCATAGTATTATTGCTGAAAATAAGGTTATTTTTCTTATCTCCCATTTATTTTCCATCTTCATTGGAATTTTCATTGGTTTTCTTGATGAATATTTCTCTACTCTGGCAAGTCAAGCCATTAGGCTATTGCTTTGAAAAATGATAAATTTTATTTATTTTAGCGCATCCTTAAAAATATATAGGTAAAGAAAAATCTACAAGGTTATCTGTAACCTCTGCCTTTTTAATTTTTTTTTAATGGAACACGTGCTACTAAATATGAGAACGCTTTTAGGGTTAATTTTCTAACTGTGCAGTCTTGGCTCATAAGCCTCATGTGGCATCACCATAGACATCCCTGGTCTTCGAACAATGGCAAAGAAAGCAAGCCTATGATTATGAAATGGGGCTGAGACTTTAACGATTTTATGATCTTGTTAGAACTGTTGATGAAGTGTTAACGTACCTAATTAGAGGACTATATTCTTTGTTCTGGATTAGAGGATGACATCCAGTTCTGCAAACCCCATCCCTAGGAAATTTAATTAGGGAGTAGGATTCAATTTGCAGATAACAGATACCATACTAGACATTGAAGGAGATAAGGATCAAACACAGGGAATCATGCTCACTACAATGCAGGAGCAGCTGAGGGCGCAACCTCTGGAAGGACTCTTAGGAGAACTCCCTAGACTGGCCTGCCTGGGAAACTGAGTCACAGCCAGGAGTCTAGGGACCCAGGGACCACTGTTTAACCTCTGTCTCCAAGGTCATACCTCAGCCACGTCCAAACCAAGTCCTCCTGCCAGATCTGAGCAGCAGAATGGATGTCCCACTTATTCCTGCTTCACAGGCTTCCTAATTCAAGTCATCCCAAAAATTAGAACTAGGTTGTGCACTGAAAGTTATTTTGGGTTGTGCAGCTGATTGGCAGAACCTACATCACATTTAAAACCTTAGTTATAAGGGAGTCTCGAAGTGGTGTTTTTGTGGTTTTATTTGTTTTTGTTTTTGTTTTGGGGGGTGTTAGCCTCCCAGCCCCACACCTGGAGAATGGTGAGTGAACCCTTCCCTTGTCCACGAAGCAGACTATCCTGGTGCAGGAGTGTGTGAAAGGGAGAGTTCCTGCAAGTGGTGACTGAGTGTTGGGGGAGAGGGGATGAGGAGACCGATAATGTCAGAGACCAAACTAGCTGTACTGAGTCCTGTTTTTTGCACGTTTTAGATGTTTTAACATCCCTCAGGCTTTGCTTGTGAAATAACCAATTGCCATAGTGGAGCAAGCAAATTTTGAGAGCAAGTTCATCTCAAAGCTTCCTCATACTTCTGAGATTCCTTTGAAGATAATATGTCTTAAGTATATTTTCTTTTCTCAGTACATTTTTGAAAGTACAGAAGTAGAAGTCAAACAGAAGATGTTGTCTCAAGGGTGCCACCAGTCCCCTCTCAGGCTGTGGAATGTGCTTGGGGTGGCCCTGCAGGCTGTAAGGGTGCTGTGATGGGCAGAGCCACAGGCATGAGGAGCCTCACCTTGGGGAACCTGTTGGGCCTGCAGTGAGTTGCTTGTAGACTCAGGTATGCCTCCTACTTCTGTGCCTGACTGAGGGGTTAATGCACCTATCACATGCCGATCTGGATTCCTGGCCCCGCCCCCAGACCTAAGCAGGTGCCTGAGAACTCCTCTAGCAAGGCTTTCCCTGCCAGCTGTGTATGTGCCTGTCTCTCTCAGCATTTTCGCTTCCCACTTCAGTGTTGTCCATTGGTTAAGGTGCATTGCAGAGGCCAGCGAACTTCTGATTTGGCAGTACCTAAATTGGGTCTTGGCTGGCCACGGCCAGTCAGGTAGAGTTGCTATTCAGGTGGCTGCGTTCACTCAAGTGTTGGCAATTTCCCCCACCTCCCTGATGCTATTATAAAACCCTGGCTTCCTGGCATCTAATAGAAGCATGATGTGCTTCTTTGTATTTATCCCTTAACCTCAAGTAAACTCATCTGCTGGGTGGAGAGCTGAGCCCGTGACCTCTGCCACAGAGCCAGCAGCTGGTGTCCTCCCTCCTCAGGAGCCATCTGGGACCAGGTGTGTCCCTCTTCTGCCAAGAATGTGCCAGGCTGAGGCACAGGCAGGTGTGGTGTTATTGCAATATTGTGATTACAGGTGTTGTAGCACCTCCTTTCCCAGGTTAGCCAGGTATAACTCTTGCTCTGAAAGACTTTGTGGGCAGGTTCCTGGGCTGGGCAGCGAGGAGAGAAACCAACTCAGATGGCCTCAGTGTGTAAACCCAACTCGGAAGCACACTCTCCATTAGGGTGCTACAACTCGCAGTGCAGGCAGAGCCAGCATTCCTGAAGGGGTTGATTATTAAAAATATGTTTTCTCCTAGAAGTAATATACACATGAATGTTGGTTCTCCAGATGTGCCATCAAAAGCCCACTTAACTCATAGTCTATTTTCACAATTCTGCATTTGCAGCTCAAAACAATAACCAGTGTACTGTACAGAGTCACCCAGGGTCCGGCTGCATGCTGCAGCTAAACCCAGCCAGGCCTGCAAAGCTCAGTCTTTGGCTTCAGAGTGGCAGGAAATGGCAGGGCAGGGCCGCGGTGATCAGATCTGAGCAGGCCTCAGATTCACCTGGAGGGCTAGAATTTGCATCTCTGTCGCATTCCCAGGTGGTGCTGATGCTGCTGTCCCACCTTTGAGGAGCACTGGGAGAGATGTGTGAGGAAGTTACTCACCTAAAGTCCTGTATTTGAATTGCAAATGACAAGATTCTGTGTGCCCAGCGGTGCCCCACTCCCCAGTTATCCACGATAAATGAGGCTCTCAGTCCCTCTGTCAGTCTGTGCCCGCATTCCCTTTCTTCCTGAGCCTGGTGTTGGCCCTTGCTCTGGAAGCCGATGGTAGAGGAGTTAGTCACTTTCCTAAGGTCTCTGGAAAGTCGGCCATACCTTGGGGACATCAGTGAGCAAGTGTGTGTCCCAAAGGGTGCAGGTACACCGTGACAGGTGCCTGCCTTCCTGCTCTGTCTGGACCAGGTGCCTTTCTCCACAGTCTGCACCGAATTTCAGCTTTTCCCGAAGCCCATGGATGCTGAGACCCACAGCTGAGGACTCCTGGGGGCTCCATCAGGTTTTCCAGAAATTGACCTGAGCTTACCATGCCCTTTAAGGATCCCCTACATTATACTCTGGGTCTCAAGACAGATAGACCAGGGGAGATATTGAAGAAGGCAGAGCTAAGATCAGATCTCAGCCCAGCCTTCCACACAGCCCACGCCACCCCCACGAATCCTGCTTTTGCTTCCAGAACTCCCTCTGTTTGACAGTCCCCACGGCCTTACCCAGCCTGCACCTCCCCAGCTTCTTGCTTCCCTCCCCCTCTCCACTGACCTGAGTGACTAATGCTTCCCAGGGCTGGAAGCTTTAGCCACTTCTTTCCACAAGACGGAGGGTGTCAGTGCCGCTGCGGGTGACACGGGTGGTGCCACCGGCAGAGGCTCCCCATCTGCCCCTTGAGCCCCACGCAGACAGCTGTGGATCCCGTGCTGTGTGCTCACGGGGGCTCCCCTGGGGCACACGCCAGTTCCAGGGAATAAACATGGGCTTCTCTCCTGTGTCTGCGAAAGAAGGAAAGACAATCGGAGGATTATTTTGTTTGTTTATTAAATAACAACAACACGTAGTTTCAAAAATAGTCTATATGTTTCACTTACTGATTGATCAGCTTTCTTTCCAGGTGAAGCAGATAGCTTTAGAGTGGAATATGGGAAAACATGGCATGTTTACAAGCAAAAGAATAGGGATGCTTTAAGTTGATACTTGGACACCTGCTATTAGCCCTCTTTATTTTTGGCTTCTTAGGAAGTTTGGGGGGATGAAAACACAAAAACTGCTTTTAATTTCCTCATGTCATTATGACACCTGGTATAAAAAGTTGGCGGGGCCTTCCCGCCTGCCGGGCCCTTCCCACCGCCGGGCCCTGTGGCACTCGCAGGTGCTGGTGGCCAGGAACGCAGCCTCCTAGCTGCTCCCGGCCTTCGGGTGACCTTCCCAGGTGACCTGGAACAGAAGGAGCACCATCCTCAGGTTTCACGGGGGCACTTACTGCAGACCTTCATAATCTGCCTCAGCCTAACGCATTACACTGCCTGCTGTGGGCAAATTTACTTCTCATTGTTGGATTTTCCTAAACACTGAGGAGCCTCTTAATGGTATATGTGGCGTCACAGCCCTCACCACAGTTATATTTGCCCTTGTAATTGACTAGGACTGGCACCTGTGTATGCTTCTCTCTGATCTGTTTTTTATTTGCCCCTCTCTAGTGGGATCTTGTGTGCGATAATGCCTGGAAGGTCCATATCGCTAAGTTCTCCTTACTGGTTGGATTAATCTTTGGCTACCTAATAACTGGATGCATTGCTGACTGGTGAGTACCAATGTGCCCACACACAAACCTTGGGAAGCCACTGCAAGACTTTGCTGGCTAAAGAGTGTTAGAGGCTGCTACTGTCTTTTCTCTGCCCCGATGTGATGTTAGTGCCGGACAGGAACTGAAACCATCACCTGGAGAATTCAGAATGAAAAGAATTGCCAATGCTCTAGCAGTCCCTTGTGAAGTGAGAACTTAAATTCACTGCAATTCTTTAGCTGCAAGAATGTGGCAAAGCCAGCCAGCAGCCGGCAGCCCTCTCTCCTACTGACAGTGTTTTGATAGGAAGAGATGGTGGCGGATGGAGGCCCAGGGCTTTCTGGGTTGAGCCCCGATGGCTTGAATGTATAAGATGCATCAAAAAATGGGGAGAGAAGGACCTAGTGAACTTATCAGGTCACACCTCAAAATGTCCCACAGACACTTTTAGAGAGGGACAGACAGCTCCTGAAGTTGGCTTGGCAGGGAGATGTCTCTGTGGGGTCCATGGGGAGCTGGGCCTGAAGAAGCGGCAGCATTTGGGTAACAAACAGATGGGCATCGCAGGCAGAGGAAGGGCAGTGACCAGGTGAGAATGAATATGCTTTGCCTGGATGGGTGAGGAGGCCTGAGGGCTGGAGCAGAGTGCATGGTGCAGAATGAAGTGATGAGGTTGGTGAGGGGGGGGGGTGGGGGGAGATGTAGCAGAGATGGAAATGATAATGATAATAGCAACAGTGTTAGCAACTGAGAGGTATTGACTGATGACTTTTGCCGGGCACTGTGCTAAGTATTTCCACATGTGAAGATATTCCATCTTCACAGCACCCTGTTCGGAAGGTTCTGTTGTCACCTCTGTCTCAGAGTGGGAAAACAGAAGCCCAGACGTTTAAGTAAAATCCCCCCCGTGCACTCAGCTTTCAGGTTGGAGAGGCAGGATTTGGGGCTAAGTCCCCTGGCTCAGAGCCTGCCTCTTCTCGAGTGTGCTGCCACTGTGTCTCAGGCCTCCTGCGGTCACAAGGGCAACGGCAGCAGTGACACGTCTGAGTGGGGAGGCAGCTGCCCAGTGTTGACAGGGTTTCAAGTAATGTGACTGCTCAGAGAGAGAGGCGTGGGCTAGCTATTCCCCTCAACGTTCCTTTATCTGTCAAGGAGCTGTTGTGTGTGTGGGGGGGAAATAAGGTCGTCTTGGGCCAGTGACATAAGAATGATACAGAGCAAACTCCTTCTGCCTGTGCTTCCCCATGGAGTCCTTCCCCTTTGGGCCGGTTTAGCTGAGAAAGCTGGCCAGCAGGAGCCCCCAGGAGTTTGGATACCACTTTCAAGTTCTGGACATTTCTTCCTAAAAGCTAGCATCTATTTGAGAGCTCCTGGCATTAACATGTGTGACTTCCTATGTGTTCAGAATTTGCTTAATCCTGATTTGTCAATGTTTCTTAAGGACACATTCCCCGGGGACAGTAACAGAGAAGCTGTGAGTGAAGAGGCCTCTGGAAAGCTGTGCACGGCCCCTGGGGGCTGATGGGTGGGGCAAGCACAGGGGCTTTCTCCTAACCAAATACTAGAGCTTAAAGGTTTTCAGAGTAAACTGGATGGGTCGAAACGATACTCCAATGTTTTAACCACAAGGACTTTTATTTCCCTAATGGGCATTAAAATTGGTTAGGAAGGTACACTCATGTAATTCACATCACTTCTACCTAAAGAAACGCAGACTGGACTTGGGTTCCAATTTCCTTGTTCAGTGAATTTATAGGTAAAGCAGATATGGGCCTGTACTAATATCCGTCTGTAACGGGGTTTAGCTTACTCAGGGCTGGTTTTGTGAATTCTTCTCACAAGCACAGGCTGTTTGGCCTCCCTGAACACACACCAGGCCTGGGGACAAAAAGCAGAAGCGTTTGGGTCCTCCTTCAGGAGCACTAACCAGTCGATGTTGCAGACTCGCTTTGCCGAGTCCCGGGGGCGGAGGGAGGGGAGGGTGCCGTGGGTGATGGAGAGACAGGGAGTGCTCTGTGCCGTGGCTCTTTGAGCATTTGAGTGGGCCTCAGTTGCACTTGGAAAGTTTGGTGTTTTTCACTCTTAGTTATTTAGTTTTGGCACCGTGCTCACTGCGAGAGCCTCGCGGAAAAGGAAACGGACACGTGTAGAGGGAACTGCAGATTTACAGCTGGCCCAAGTCAGGGCAAGTTGAGGAAGTTGTCCGAGCCAGGGTGCGCTCTCTGACTGCTGTCAGCACATAAAATGTGAAGTGGTGCACTTTGTCCTTTAAGAAGTTATTGTTCCCGCACATGTTTTATGTGGGAACGCACATCACTTGTTTCAGGAAGTGCTAGTTTAGATGTTCCAGGAGACAGCTGTGGTGGTGAAGTGGCCAGATGACACCCCTTCCCCCATGGCTAGTTCTTATGCTAACCATTTGCATCCTCACCCCAGGAGCCCTTCCCCTTGCCCTCTAGCTCCTGGCAGAGCCCCTTTGCCAGAAAAGGTAACACATTTCCAGGCTCCAGTGTTTAGGGTGTGGACATCCTTGGGGGCCATTATTTGCTCAGCACAGGGCCTCGCTGATAAAGCCCTCGTGTCTCTGCCTTACCAACCGAGGGGTGTGGTTTTATCCCTCATCCTGCATGGGGTTCTGCCCAGAGAAGCCAGTCCACACTAAAACTCCAGGGATTCTGACTGACATTTGTTGACCATTTGCTAGATCACTTGCACTTACTTATCCCTGACAGGAAGCCCATTAGGTTGTCACTGACCGTCTGTTCCTAAGGAAACAGGAGGCTGGTTCGGACAAGTGTGGTCTTTCTCGTGACCGTGTATGTAGTTTATACGTGGTGGGCCTGGATAAACGACCAAGGGCTCCGACTGTGAAGATCATATGTGCCCCCCAGTTCCTAATAGTAATTTTATTCACTGACTTAGCAATCATTTCGAAGGGAGAGATTTAAATAGTTTACACAAGTAAGAAAAAGATCGAGGATCTCTTCTAAAGCATCAGAACATTGTTATTGATCTCATAGCTCGGCCTCATTTCACTAAACTAAAGTGACTACGGGGAATGTTAGAAGCCTAAAAATTCTGAATGAAATTGTGTCCTCTAGCACCCACCCCCCTCCAAATTTTCTGGAAATTATATTCATCTCCTTCATAGCCATGTGTTACTGAGCATTGCTGTTGCTTTAACAGCTTTATTGAGAGATAATTTACATATCATAAAGCTCACTTTTTTTTAAGTGCACAATCCAGTGAGTTTTAGTATATTTACAGAATTATGCAATCATCACCACACTCTAAAACATTTCTACCACCTTAAACGGGAGTCACCTGCTCATCCACATTCATTCCTCATTCTCACCCCCAGCCCTAAGCAGTCACGAATCTACTCTCTGTTTTTCTCTATTTGCCTCTTCTGGACATTCTACTTTTATGTAGATGCCTTTTTATAAGCACATATAGGCTAATTCAAGGCATTAGCTACTCTCCAGGTGTTTGGGCTGCTAGGCTTCTTCCTTTGGCGAATAGAATTTCTCTCCACTTTCTCTGTGAGCTATTCTTCTGGTTCAAGCTGGTTGGGTTATATTAATTTCTATGATTTTTTTCCTCCCTAGTAAATCGATGAAGGAAATCCTGGAAGGCTAGGAAGAGAGGGGTGAAGAACTAGTTTCCTTTCATTCCCATAGACCCCTCTGCCCCCCTGCGGACCTCTCAGCCACACCTAGGAGCACATCACACCCTAGTAGTAGCCGATCTGTAATCTGCCAGTCTAGTTTTTTTCCCTGAAAACCTTCCACCCCTTGCTGCCTGGTGAGCTGCACTTTCAGGTTCACACCCATTATTTAAAGTCCAAACTATCTTAGTTTATTTTAAGTTTAGTTTAAAAATGACTTCTCATCATAAAGTTGAAACACACCAGCAGCTGGCATGGCCCTAGTAGGCTGTGTGAGGTCAGACACCTAACTCTTTACCAGCCCTGACTAAGGAGATGAAGCCACTCCACTCAGTGTCTGTTGACTTTGGTGCCAGTTCCAAAGGTCAGTGATTTCTCAGGACATTTTATGCTGGGTGTGTCGAGGTTTACATTTGGGGAGTTGTTATTGATTTTGTTACTCTTGCCTTGAATTACCCTCCTATACACTCAAAAATAGACTTACCAACAGGATTTGGGTTCCTGTTTCAATTCTATGATGCAGTAGCAGTTCAATCTATGCCCTTTTTCAGCACAGTGAGGGGGTTGGGCTACGTTTCCTCCAAGGGCCTCTCTATCCCTAGATATGCCCCAGGGGTCTGGACAGTAGGAAGACCTTTAGTCCAGTGCTCGTTCAGCATCTATTGAGCATCTGCTGGGTTTTCGAGGCTGGCATCACGGCCCTGTGTAATGATGACTCCTGCCATTTCCTCTCTGTGCACAGGGTCGGCCGGCGGCCTGTGCTGCTCTGTTCCATCATCTTCATTCTGATCTTTGGCCTGACCGTGGCCCTATCCGTGAATGTGACGATGTTCAGCACACTCAGGTTCTTCGAAGGATTCTGCCTGGCTGGAATAATCCTCACCTTGTATGCATTACGTAAGTAGGAGTCTTCCCGCCCAGTCTTGAAGAAATTGGCAGAAGTGTTTATGGCACCTGTGTGGTTCTGCGAAGGGGCTCTCTTTGCTGGTGGTTTGGGATGGTAGTCTTTTGGAAGCACAAACTTGAATGGCCTCAACTGCTGAGAAGAAGCTTTCCCAGGTAATGTTATCAACACCCTGTCTCTCCTGGTCTCCGGCATAGGCCCAGGGCACACCAAAGGACCCGAGGGCTATGTAATTGCTTGAAGAAGCAGGAATCAGCCCACAGCTGGTGTGGAGGGGGGGGTTTGCTGTCTTCCAGAATTTTCTGTGTTAATGTTCTGTGCACTTTCAAGTTCAGGACATCATTAGGCATCGCTGTGCTTGGTTCCAGAAAAATATACCCACCACTGTTACCCTTTCTTTTGGGCTCAATGTTTTCATTGCCTCTTTAAGAGTTTTTCTTCCAGTCCTAGCTGGGTAGCTCAGTGGGTTAGAGCATCATCCTAATACAACAAGGTTGTGGGTTCAAGCCCCTGTCAGGGCACATACAGGAAGCAACCAATGAATACATAAATAAGTGGAACAACAAATTAATGTTTCTTTCTCTCTCCCCCTTTCTCTTAAAAAAATGTTTTTAAAGAATTTTTCTTACCGGTACCTTTTTTTTTTTTTTTTTTTTTTTTTTTTTTTTTTTTGTAAAGCTGTGCAGAGTTCGAATTCTCATGTGCCTGCATATGGCTTTAATGTTCTGGACTCAAATCCCATGTATTGGTGCTAGAAGAGTAAATGACAGTATTTGTTAGTATTTGTTCTTTTTAGGGTGAAGAAAAATTTTCCTTCAATAATTCCCCATGTTTGTTGGACATATTAACTCCTCCATCCAATCTGGTTATGTTTTACTTCTTTGAAGTTGGTGTTTTCTAGAACACAGCCACAAACTCCTACAAAGGAGGAAGGTTTTTGGCATAAAAATTTTTACTTATTTTCTAGTTTAATGCTTTCTAATCACCTGGTGGAAAGAACTGTTAGGAATAATGTAAAATGATTTACAAAATGTTTTGTCTTTTTCTTTCCCTTTAACTACATGGGCAGGAGTCAGTTATAGATTAAGTAACATTTTCCAGTGAGGTCAAATAGCATATCATTAGCATATTATGCTTTGATTGGTTGAACAGACAACCAGACACTTAGCATATTAGGCTTTTATTATATAGGATAGAAATATAATCAATTTGTAACTTAGATAGTGTTAGAGTCACAGAGAAGAAATGGGCATAGAGGAAGTCTACAGGTATATTCTCTGAATCCACAGTCAGCGGTTTTGTCATCTTCTCCCAACACTGAACTGTTTCCGGGCCATTTGCATTTATTTTGGAACCCTTGCTTCTTACAGGGTTCTTTAGGAATATATTAATATATGTTCAGGGTCAGTGGGTCATGGTCATGGCTGTTTGGAGGTTTTGTTTCTTTGAACAGCATGAGTTTCCAGTGAAATTCCTGTGCTGTTCTCTGACCTTGTCTACCCATCGGTCTGTGCAGAGGAGCAGCTTCCTCACCTTTTAAAAAAAAATGTTTTTACTGATTTTTTTTAGAGACAAGGGAAGAAAGAGGGATAGAGAGATAAAAATGTCGACGAGAAACATCACTTGGCTGTCTCCTGTATGCCCCCTACTGGGGATCCAATCTATAACCCAGGCATGTGCCCAGATTAGGAATCAAACCATAACCATGCCCTCTTGGTTCCAGAGTTGACACTCAACCACTGAGCAACACAGGCCAGGTTTCCCACCCTTTTCTTGAGGAGACTCCAGGCCCGGCTCTCAGATACTCATCTGAGTTGCATCTGTGCAGGTTTGTGAGGCTCCTGGCTCTCACAGGAATCCAGGCCTCCCTTGAGGAGGGCAATTGAAGGGGACAGCTGGGCATGTTGACAAACTAGAATAGCTGTGCTTCAAATACTTTGCAGAGAGTGTAACATCAGCCTACTACATGAGTATCAGACTTGGAGAGAATATCAAGCAAAGATGACCTATCGGTTTTATCTTGCATGCAAACTGCTCATGATAGATTCAGATGGCTAGGGAGCCCAGGAGCTCAGGGAGCAGGAGGGAACACCTTGATCTATTAGCCACGTCTGCCTGGGAGAAGGAAGGAGGGTGGGAAGGCTGCCTGGACCTGATACTCACCTTCTGCACAGATCCTCCCTGAACTCAGCCAGACCGAAGAGCATCCCCCTGAACTACATCGTTTCAGCCTCACATAGAATCATTTTACTGACTTGTGTTGTGATATCATGCCATTGGCTCTGTGAAAGTTGTTGTTATATTTACTGTAAAAATGAAGCTAAGGCTGTGTGTGTTTGTGTGTGTGTGTGTGTGTGTGTGTGTGTGTGTCTGTTTTCTTCAGGAGATTACATAGTAAGCTCTTTATAGTAGGAAGTTCTCTTTCCTTTCAGAACCATACAAAGAATGTGCTTACCCTTGAAAATTACTGTGCTTTTGTCTCATAGGCACAGAATCATCGGCAGGCACCTGCAAACTTTGTTTCTGTAAAAAGCCAGTTAGTAACTATTTTAGGCTTTGCAGGTCTCTGTTACAACAACTCAGCTCTGCTATTGTACCATGAATGCAGCCATAAATAACATGTAAGTGATCAGGTGTGGCTGTATTCAAATAAAACTTTATTTGCGGAAATAAATGGTGGGACAGATTTGACCAGTAGGCTCTGCTGTTTCAGCTACCAATGTAAGCAAGTCTCTCTTCCCTTTGACTGCTATGAAGCTTACAAAGCTCGGAGTCTGATCTGGCATGTGAGTGGGCCTGATAGTTTGAGCTTTAAATCAGGCCTTCAAATTTCATCTAAACTTTCCTACTGTGATGTCTCTCCTTTCCCACTTCCTGTCTTTAAATAGAAGTGTTATTTTATTTATGTATTTGTAAAAGCAGTCTTAAGTTTTTTTCTGAAATAAAGCAGGGAATAAATAGTTATTGTTTTCTTAGAATGGAATTACAAATGAAACATCATGATAAATACTATAGCAATGAACAGAATTCCAAGCATCAACCAGTGGCCCACTGACTGAGCTAATACAATATCTGGTATAGCAAAATTAAAATAAAGCAAAAGGACATAAATGATTACTTGGAGTTCACTGAGATAATGTTTAAGCAATATAAATAAGGGGCCAATGATTGAGAGATGGCAGGGGAGAATCAAAGAGAGGCCATAACGTTGTGATGGGCAGGCAGGATTGGGGAAGAATGTGGTGCTCGCTGGCCAGGGGCAGCCCATCTCTGTCAATCCTAGATCAGGACACTGTGGTGATGGGAAGTTAAGAGGCAAGCTCCCAGTCATAGGGCAGATGACTGAATCTCCAGATCAGTGTGCTTGTTAGCATTTTATACACGAGTAGTCTATGGGCTTAGTTAATGTTTAAGAATTTGTTTTGCTTAAAGGAAATTATTGATAATTTCTGTCATAGGGTTGAAGTATTTCTTGACTATAAAGGAAAGTTTTAAACTTTTGGGCATTGATTGTTTGGAAAATACATTTTTAATGGTCCGGACTTTTTCTACTCCTTCACCATGTGGTTTTCATCTCACCGAGTGTGCTGGAAAGGCCTGCACTTCCTCAGAGAGAACTGGATGTCATTCTTTTTTTTTCCATCTTGCAGGTGCTTGGCAATGCACACAGGGAAAGTAATGATTTTTGCAGATTCCTGTTTCTTGTGTAGCCTGCAGTGTGGGTGGACTCTGAGTTTTAAGAAATGCTGCTGACATAGGAAAGTTTTCTGCTTTATAGGCAAGGATTTCTCATGCTTTGGAATTTTTCAAAGGTACATTCTGGTTACATACTCTCTCCTTTAAACTTTTGTTTCCTTCAAGTCAACATAGGAGCACGTGGTTGCTGGCTGGGACATATTGGATCTTTCCCAGGAGCCTTTACATGGAGGCAGAGCGCACACTGTCCCCAGCCAGAGAGAACAAGGGAACTGAGAGGGTGTGAGCCGGGCTGCAGTCTGTTTCCTGCCTGCCTCTGAGGCCACCGGAGACTCTGAAATAACGAACCCACTTGGGCTTCATCAGTAGCTTAATTGTATCTCTTAGCCTCTGAGCAACAACAACAAAAAGGATAGAAAATCTTAGCTGGGCAAGGGGCAGGGAACTACAGACCCAGGAAAGAGGAACTGAACACTTAATTGTTTATGAAAATAAAAGTCTTATCAAAGACTAAAGAAAGAGGCAGATTTCAATCAAGGCAGACATGGTTTTTCTTTCTCCAGCTCAGATCATAACATTATGGACAGGGTAACACAGCATTGTTTAAGATGTGTCTTTCAACAGAGGCCAGTGAGAGATTATTGCTTTTTAATCTGATTTGATGCTGCATGTAATAAATCCTTGGGAGAGAAATATTTTCTGAAACATGAATACTTTTAGTTTTTCTTCTCATTTGATCTATGTCTTCCCCTTCTCTACCATTAAACTACCCCCACCCCCATTTGAAATAATGAGTACTGCTTTTTGTTGCCAGAGACTGAACCTAGTTACTGTGGGCAAATGAACACCTTCCTTCCTCCCTCCCCTCTCCCTTCCTCCCCCCTTCCCTCCCTAACTCCCTCCCTTCCTTCCTTCTTTCCATTTATTTATTGCCTAATAACAATAAATAATTTTCTTGAGAACTTTTCTTAAAGCTTCATATTATCATAATAACTCTCCTTATACCCAGATAGCTTTGTATATAATCAAGGCGTGACCATAAATTTCACAGGTGACTAAGTTACTGATTACATTACAAAATTACTTTACCAGAAGCCAAGTCTTAACCGGTAAATAGACTCAGAAAACTCTCCAGTTTGCCCTGGGCGGGGCAGTGTTCTCTTTCTCACATTGCACGCATAACCTTCGACTCTCACTGAAGTGGCTGAGTAATTTCTCATGTGCTGGGGTGAGGTGACTTTTTCCTCCTCACTGTTGATCTATTTCTATAATGTGGTGTTTTTCTGAACTAATATTC